TAAAACTGGCAAACACAATACCTGTCTGTAAAAATGATTATATTGCACATATTTTCTGACTACTATTGACTGATAAAGCCAGTCAATGATAGGCACCGGCTACCAACGCTTATCCTTTACTATGTATCATTTTGATAATGGTTTATCAATTTGTAGCAGTCAAAATTATTTAGAAAAGTATGAAATAATCTAAAAATGTTCAAAACTGAGAGGTATAAATAAATACCGCACTGAATTCAATTCATGCAGTGAGTTCAGTTAAAGAGCTACTGAACTAGTTTGTGAAAATCAACCATTGACCAATTTAAAATGTTCAAGTTGTTGCTCATTGGATTCGTGATCGGACTGGCATCAGGTAAAGTTGTAACTTCGAGAAATTCTATCATTGCTTTACTCATGTCATTATTGAATCGTAGCAAGTCCTGTCGATGTTCGACTAATTGTTGGCGGTTTCGAGACGTCCATCGAAGAACAACCATGGCAGGTGTCACTTCAAGTTGGCACATCGCATAATTGTGGTGGGTCAATCATTGGAAAGGAGTGGGTATTGACCGCGGCCCATTGTACTAACAGGTAATATTCAGCGGCTTCAGTTTAGAAGAGGCAGAAGGAATAACTCGCTAGTGATCTTGTATTTCAGCACCGGATCATATTACGTTCGTGTTGGCTCATCGCGTTACGCAAGCGGTGGTTCAACTATCAAAGTGAAGAAGGTTTACCGTCATGAGAAATACAATGCCAGCATCACCGATTTTGACTTCTCGCTGTTAGAACTGGCCGAACCACTGTCATTTGGGGATGCAGTGAAACCAATCGCCCTACCAAGCGAAGATATTAAAATTGCAGATGGAGTCGAAGTGCTGGTTTCAGGATGGGGTAACAAAAATCGAACTAAGTATTTGAAGCATCTTAAAGGAAAATATTCTTTTGTTCATTAGGAGCAACGCAAAACTCAAGTGATTCGAATGAAGTACTCCGTGCCGTCTATATTCCCATTGCCAATCAAGAGTACTGTAGCGAACAATACAAAGGCTATGGCCGACCGATTACCGATCGAATGATCTGTGTTGGTTTTGTCAAAGGCGGAAAAAGCCCATGCTATGGCGATAGCGGCGGCCCATTATCTGTTGAAAGTGATGGAGATCGTGTTGTGATTGGAGTTGTAAGTTGTATATGTGCATAACTGCAGAAATATGTATACAATACTTAATTTGTAATCTCCACCTAGGTGAGTTGGGGGAAAGATTGTGGTGCGCCAAACTATCCTGGAGTCTTTGGTCGAATTACATCCGTTCGTCCATGGATTAAAAGTTTATCGGGAATTTAACCGTTTAAAATCATAGTTCATCTAAAGCGAATCTTCTTCGAACTCGATTGATTTGAATACAAAATTGTATTTTTTTTTCTCAATAAATACTTCGAAGGGAATGCATTTAGTTGTTATTTATTGAACTAAGAAGTATTTTCGATGATTGGTGTCAAATGTCTTATTTGATTCAAATAAATTATTCAAGTTTATCGTCAGTTTAGTTTTATATAATGCACATTGAATGTAGAAAACAATTTTTTGCATTTTCAAAGATATGTCAGTTTTACGAGAGCACGCAGCGTAAGCATGTCGCTATCGATCCATTTCAAGCTGTAATTATTCATATATACAGATCCAGTCTGTGCAAAATCTAATAAATCAAACGCTTTATAGATTCAGTCAAATATTTGATGGTTATATATTTTTCAGGTGCAAAAAAATGAAAGTGACGTCTGAATACACACACACAGTCGAAATTTTAATTCTCGTTTTAAGTCCAATAAAACTGGCAAACACAATACCTGTCTGTAAAAATGATTATATTGCACATATTTTCTGACTACTATTGACTGATAAAGCCAGTCAATGATAGGCACCGGCTACCAACGCTTATCCTTTACTATGTATCATTTTGATAATGGTTTATCAATTTGTAGCAGTCAAAATTATTTAGAAAAGTATGAAATAATCTAAAAATGTTCAAAACTGAGAGGTATAAATAAATACCGCACTGAATTCA